AGGATACAAATGCCCGATTGGGCCGCGTTTTATGCCCGAGACTACGGCTACACACGAATGACTGTCCAAAACAAAACACACATTTTCTTTGAACAGTACTCTACAGAAAATGTAAATTTTTATTTTATATTATTATTGATTGTTATCTTTAATTAATTAATTTTAATTTGTTTCTTAGGATAAAGTAATCGATAAATTTATCATCACAAAAGACAAACAAAACTTTCCCTGATAGAAAATTATATTCATATCTAGTAGATATTTGTAAATATTTTGTATAAATATAAATAAATAATTAATTTTTCTAAAATTATTGTAAAATATAAGTAAATAAAAACAATTAATTAATATAATGTGTGTTAGATATATTGTAAATACATTAATAAAGTATCAAATATTAATAAATTGCATAAAAATAACAAATAATGTAGTTCTCAGTAAAAGTTTAAATTTTAAAAATAAGAAAAAATCATTAGAAATTATATATATAAAAACTCATGTTTTTAAAAACACAACAGTATTAACTCATCCCTAAAGTCTCTATTTTTCGGGAATTCCCGATTTTCCCGAATTTTCCCGATTTTGGCACTTTTTGAGAAAACTTTTTTTAAATAAAATATGGATTTTCTATCAAAATACTAATGAATTTGCTCACAGAATACCAAAACTTGCTGCAAAATTAAGATTATTAATTATTTTTGCATCAATAAATGTTATTATTTTGCTTCGTTAGTGTATATAAACGGTTTAAAAATCACTTAAATACATAATTATTATGTGAAAATCCAATTAAAACGTTATTCCCGAATTTTCCCGATTTTGGCCATGTATACTCCCGAATTCACATGTTTTTATTCCCGAAAAATCGAGACTCTACTCATCCCTAAAAACATACAAATTTTCATTTTATTCAATCAATTGTATATTTTGAATATATAAACCATTATAATAGCTAAAAACCGATGTATAAAAAACCAGAAAATCCATTTGGCATTGAATTGAATTTTTGTAATATCCACTCAATTCCCGGAATTTAAACCCTAAATAACAAAGAGAAAAAAGTTTGTTTGTATTTAAAGTTAATACTATAATACATAAAATCAATATTATTTCTGGGAAAGAATCCACAAAATACCTGACAAAGCACACCATTTCTCGGCAACTATTATACCATAAATGAAAATAAACTTAATATTAGTAACAGTGAAGCAAATTTTGATGTTTTTTCATTTGAAAATGTACTTTTATTTGGGAAAAATACTTGAATGAAGTTATGGTTTAACTCATGATAAATGTTTGCCAACATATCTCTATTTATACAGAATATTAGTGTATAAAAGCGCTCAAAATTCAAAAGAGATTTTCTGCTCAAAAGTTTTATTACACATCTTTATAGTAGTGTTTAAAATGAATTCTGTGTTCAATATATTTATATTCGCAATAATAGCGACAAATGTATGTTTAAATGATGGCAAATCAAAGACATCAGTTCCCGAACAAATACATCTGTCATTAGGAGGTATTTCTAATACTATTTTGCTAAATGTGTGCACAAAAATGATGACAGAAAGTAATGTTATTATTTGAATTGACAGCAAATCCGACTGAAATGATGGTCACATTCACGACATTCAGAAAAAGTGACGACTCTTTAGTGGCGTTCAGAGAGTTGTCTGAACACGAGTTTCGTGTCTCACAATCAAGAGTTACTTATTTCAGGGATAAAAAGTATAAAGCATTTATACATCGGGCAAAATTGACAGGTTTAACGCCCGGCGCTACTTACGGTCAGTTGTTTTTGTTATTTCCTGTTTTACTAATTTTTGCATTTAATGTATTTTCTATGTTTTTATACAAAGAGTATAAATGCAAAACAGACGGCCAGTATTCCGACAGTTTCTCATTTAAAGTGCATACGCCGGACACACCACTAAAAGTGGCCATTTATGGTGATTTAGGTCTCAAGAACGGTGTCTCCACTCCTAAACTTAAAAATGATGTTCAAAAAGGACTCTACGATACGATATTTCACATCGGTTTGCATCACTTTTATTCAAATTATGTATTAATCCATATATTCTTTATTTAAATTAATAAATAATTTTTATTTTAGGCGACATCGCCTACAATTTAAACAGTGTACGTATTTTTAAAAACTGTCATTTATTGATCGTATCTATTTGTCAGTGAAAATATCTAGTTTAATCATGCTAAATAAATAATGTAAACTAAAACAAACAATAAACAGGATGACGGGTCAATTGGCGACGACTTTATGAACCACATTGAGTCAATCGCAGCCAACGTTCCCTATCAGGTCTGTGCCGGGAATCACGAAAAGAAAAGGTTGTGTCAATGAAAATGCCCTTCAATTCCCAGAAATAACCGATCAATTGATTATAAAATTTGGTTTATATTTGCAATTATATAGAAATTTTACACATTATTTGAATCGCTTCTCAATGATTGACTCGAGAAGCGGACAAATGAATAACCATTACTACAGCCAAGACATGGGTTTCGCGCACTTCATCTTCTTCTCGTCGGAGCACTACTTCTATCCGAAATATTTCACGGAATCGCATATCAAATGGCAATACGAATGGCTGGAGAATGACTTGAGAGAAGCAAACAAACCGCACAACAGAGCAAAACGACCCTGGATTATAACACTAGCGCACAGACCCATGTATTGTGTCGAGAATAATGAGAGAGATTGCTTTGAAAACGAGTCGTTTGTGTGTTTAATCACAACAATTGATTATAGATTTTACTTTTTTTAATGGTCGAGTAATTCACACGTTATTATCGTCTTATTTTTGTAGCTCCGGAGGGGTAGAAGTGGCGATGATTTAGACCGAGAAAGCAATTATGGTTTAGAGGATCTATTCTATAGACATGGAGTGGATATACAATTTTACGGACACAAACATCTATACGAGAGATCGTATCCGTTATATAACTTGAAATCGTCGAAACGGACTGATATCTACACTAACCCTAAGGCACCCATTCATATAACGACTGGCGTTGCCGTTAGTATTGCATAATAATAAATTGCATTATTTGTGATAAAATTGAAAATTTATTTTTATCACTTTTGTGGACGAAAGGGTACCACAAATAGACCCAATTCTGATATCGAGGAGATTCTGCCCGATTGGGTAGCATTTTATTCCCGAGACTATGGCTATACCCGTATGAATGTACAAAACAAGACACATCTCCTCTTTGAACAATACTCTGCAGAAAATGTTAGTTTGTTTTTGTTTAAAATGTATTATTTGTTTATAAATTTCATCATTTTTAGGACAAAATTGTGGATCATTTTGTTGTTTCGAAAGACAAGCAAAATTTCCCTCGAGATTAGTTCATTTTGATAACATGATCAAAATTTCATATTAAAACTTTGTTCGCTATTCATATTAATTTAATAAATCACTAAAGGTATTAAATTATCACAAAATATTAATGAAATGTTTATTTAAGTAAATAATTAATTATTACATAAAAGGGTGCTAAATATATCACAAATACTTCTCAATACAATGTGTTTGTAAATTAATAATAAATTAAAAAATTATGTCATTCATTAAAGCAAATTCTTTCATATAATCTTGCAATTAATTATATAATATTATTGTCTAGTTGTTTATTATGTAATTTTTTGTGCAATAATTAGCAAAAACTACTGACAAATAATTAAATTCATGAGAAATAATTAAATAAATAATGATATTATTGTGAAAATACAACTTAACGTAATATCTACAGTATCGTGAAAACAATTGCTTGGTTTTTGGTATAAATATTACCGGTAATTTATTTTAATTTAATATCTTACTAGTGGTTTATAAATATACATTTTATGACAATACTATGTATTTGAAGTATTATATATTAAAATATGATTTAATCCTTATTTCACAATAATTAGTGTTATATTCAATATAACAAAACATATTGAAAAACATCGTTCAATGGTTTGATTGAAAGTAATAATAATAATACAATGATTACAATATAAATGGGTTTCAATTGTAAAAAAGCATTTTTGAAAAGTAGTACTACTAATGGATAATAAGATAATAGAATTTGTCTGAAAAATACAAATAGTGGGCAAAACTTGATTTTTATATATAAAGCAAAACTCTAATAGAGTTTACCATTGCTTTTATTATAATACATCACTTTTTATATATCACTGCCTCTCTATTCTTGGCTCAAATCGTTTGCTAGACTCGGGTTTCTCTCAATTGAATCCAAATGTAAGTGAGACTCGAGTTGAACAACCGTTTGATCGCATCTACAGCTCATCTCATCGCTCAACGAATCCCTTCTTCCATGGATTCGGCAAATGTTTGTCTCGAAAAGTCGGTCCACGTTTGCGGCGGTGATCGACGATCGGGCGCTTGTATTACTCATATCATCTGATCGTAGCACAGATATGATAGCGTATACAGTATTGTCATACGATTTGTGGCCACCATTTGATGTATTGATGTATAAATAAATGTCACACAATAACAATTAAAAGTCCGATTCTCGTATAATTTATCACATTTAATATGACATAAGTTATAACTCGAGACGAGAGAGAGAGAGAGAGAGAGAGAGAGAGAGAGAGAGAGAGAGAGAGAGAGAGAGAGAGAGAGAGAGAGAGAG